TCAAAAATCTGGAAGAAGCATGGCAAAAATCAGCAGTACTCCAAGCAAACCCAATATATCAACCACTGCCTATATCTCAAGGGCCATCAAGAGCCTGGATAACAGAGACCTGCAGGAATGGCCCCACACTGAGGTGATGTTACCAATGCATTAAGTATGATTTTTAAACTTTTCATATACTATATTGCCTATACTGCCTTTACACACACACATGAACTTTAATGGCATTACAATCTTAGTCCGTAGAGTTCAATAATGAGTTGGCCCACCCTTTGCAGATATAACAGCTTCAACTCTTCTGGCAGGGCTGACCACAAGGTTTAGGAGCGTGTCTATGGGAATGTTTGACCATTCTTCCAGAAGCTCATTTGTGAGGTCAGCCACTAATGTGGGACAAGAAGGCCTGGCTCCCAGTCTCCTCTCTAATTCATCCCAAAGGTGTTCAGTTGGGTTGAGGTCAGGACTGTGTGCAGGCCAGTCAAGTTCCTCCACCCAAAACTCATTCATCCATGTCTTTATGGACCTTGCTTTGTGCACTGGTGCGCAGTCATGTTGGAACAGGATGGGCTGACCTCCTGAGAGCGACCCATTCTTTCACAAATGTTTGTAGAAGCAGTCTGCATGCCTAGGTGCTTGATTTTATACACCTGTGGCCATGGAGGTGATTGGAACACCTGAATCCAATGATTTGGAGGGGTGTCCCATTACTTTTGGCAATATAGTGTATGTTGACTTATACATTAGCCTTAATATTTGATTCTGAAAAAATAAAACAGCATGCAAATCAACACGTCCTGTTTTATTTACGCAGTGTGTTCTGCCAGAATTCCTTTTCACTGTCACAACTCCAACATAAAACAAACTTGCAAAGTAACAACAAGTTAAGCATAATTAGTTATATAATTACAAATGTAGTTACATAGTCACATTGACAAAAGACACTAGTCCCTCTAGGTCAACCAATAAAACACACACACATAGAAAACCTCCATATACACAATCCTATACCCACAGCTGATCCAGAGGATGGCAAAAAAAAGAACAATAAATAAATCATCCAATTTGCCCCAGTAGGGTAAAACATCCTTCTTGATCCCCCAGGAGGCAATTAGCTTATTCCTTGGATTTACTACCCCTGCATTATTCTAAATATTAATATCCAAATATATATTGTGCATTTACGAATGCATCCAGCTGTTTTTTTAAAAACAGTCTACCTAACTGGCCAGAACCAGGGAGTCTATTCCATATTTTCACAACTCTTACTGTGAGGAAGGCTTTCCATATGTGGAGGTTGAATCTCTTCCTCCAGGCCTAAACAGTTGCCTCCTTGTCCTCTGTAATGATAAAGTGAATAACGTACTATATGGAACACTTATGCATTCACACATGGTGATCATATCCCCCCCTTAATCTCCTCTTCTCAACAGAGGATAAATTCAGTTCAGCTTATATTTCCTCATAGCTGAGTTCCTCCATGCCTCTTACCTATTTGGTTGCCCTTCTCTGCACTTTCTCTAGTTCGCTGATATCATTTATATGAATTGGTGCCCAAAATAGGACTGTGTATTCTAGATGTGATTTTGCTAATGACTTGTAAAGGGGCAACATTATTTCTCTCTCTATGCAGTCTATACTTCTTTTGATGCAAGAAAGTATCTTGCTAGCTTTAGAAACTGCAGCTTGGCATTGCAGGCTATTACTAAGTCCATGGTCTATGATCTAAGTCTAGAACACCCACATTTTTCCCCACCATTGACTTCCCCAGCTATTCACCTCCTAGTATGTAAGATGCATGCATGTTTTTTAGCCCACGAGTGCATAACCTTACATTTAACAACATTAAAACTCATTTGCCACATAGTTGCCCAATTAAATAGTGCATTGAAGTTGGCTTGTAAGTTATAGACATCCTGTAAGGACGTTATTCCACTACATAGCCTGGAGTTATCTGCAAACACTGGTACTTTTAATCCTGAACGCTATATAATTTGTAAATATGTTAAAAAGTAAGGGTCCCAAAACTGAACCTTGGGGTACACCACTGACGACCCCAGACCATTCAGAATATGAATCAGTTATCACTAGTCTCTGAATATGTTATTTTAGCCAATTTTCTATTCATTTACAAACTGAATTTGCTAAGCCTGTGAACTTTAATTTACAGATAAGCAAAGCGTGGGGAACTTTGTCAAACTCTTTGGCAAAATCCATGTATACTGCATCCATAGCCACTCCTTTGTCTACGTTTTTGCTCACCTCCTCATAAAAAGAAATCAGATTTGTTTGACAACTTTGATTTTTTGTGAATCCATGCTGACTATTGCTTAAAATATTATTTTCTAGCAAAAACTCTTCTACTGTATATTGTCTTTTATTAAATTCTGGAATTTCTCCCCAATTATAGAAGTTAAACTTACCAGTCTGTAGTTATTCGGTAAGGACCTTGATCCCTTTTTAAATGTAGGCACCAAATTGACCTTACCCAAATCCATTGGTGTACGGTCAATTAAAAAGTCCCTAAAAATTAGAAACAATGGCTTAGAAATAACAAAGCCCATCTCTTTAAGAACCCTTGTGTGTAAGCCATCTGTCCCTTTATCTGTGCTTTAGTCACCTTTATTTTTGTTTAAATTTTTTCTGGATCATGTGAGCTTCGAGCCATTGTAGATCATTTGGGGATATGTCAATATTATCCCCATTAAGGACTTGAGCCTTCCTATTCCTTGGTATACACAGTCCTCAGTAAGCAAGTCACAATTATCTGGTAAAGGGCCTGACCTTTTTGCTGTTAATAATTTGAAAAATTTTGAGGGGTTTATCCTATTCTAGTTTGCAACCTGTCATTTGTTTTACATTTTTACAGCCTTGATTTCATTTTTACAGATTCTGTTATATTCATTGTATCTTTTAAATTATGACAGTGTGCCTTTATTTTATATTTTAAAAGCTCCTTTCTTAATATTTACATATGGACATGGGCCACATAGTTTTTTTTTTAGCCTATTAAACTTATTGCTCATGGGAATATGCCACATGGATGAAAAATATATTTTGTATTTCAATAGTTTTTATTAGTTTTAAGCAGTATAAAACAGAGGCGACAAAACATGCCCCCACAGGGGCTATCAATTGCACCGATAAAATAAAAAACATAATAATAAAAGAAAAAACAGTGCTCTAACTTCAACAAGGCAGAAGGTACGCCCACGCAGGGGCCTTCAATGGCACATAGGTTACAATGACGGTAATGAAATTCTAACTGCAATTAAAGGCAACTGTCAACTATCACCCAAAAAAAACTAACAGAAATGGAGAGAAAGAAAGAGAAGAGAAATAAGAGGAGAGAAAAAGAAAAAAAAGAGAAGAGGAGGCAGAGATCCAGGAGCGCCACCATCAAACGCCAATGCCTAACGCCAGTACATCCCCATACTAGCCAAAGGAAGCGTGGGAAAGGCATATTGCAACCATGGTTCCCATATTTTCAAGAATTTACATTGGGAGTCGTTACATATGCTCGACATCTGCTCATTAAGCATCATATTGGTCATACGATCCCGCACCCCCTGAAAAGGGACAAACGGACTCTTCCAGGCCTGAGCAATCGTTCTGGTGGCCGACAGAAACAAATAGGATGCCAGCTTCTGCTGATGAGCAAAGAGACCCGGTATGGGGCAATGAAGCAAGGCATACCGAGCATCCCGGCGTATGGATAGATGAAACAACGTGAAAAGGAGGCCAAATACACGAGACCAAAAACGGACCAGTTCGGGCATGACCACCAGATATGCAAGATCGCCACGATGGCCACAACCCCGGAAACATCGATCACTACAAGCGGGATTAGCCTGGGCCAAACGAGCCGGAACCCAATACCAACGAAAACAATACCTTATAGGCTGCCTCCAGCGTGGTGGTATTGAATGAGCATTTAGCTATGAGTGACCAGGCCCTATTCCAGTCCTCCGGATCCACATCCACCCCCAAGTCACGCTCCCACTGAACAACATATGAAAGAGAAGTATGCAACGGGCGTCTGTTCAAGGCTGCATAAAGGAGGGAGATAAGGCCCGGGGCGCCCGGGCGCTGCTGACAAAGCTGTTCAAAGGCCGATTTCTGGTATGGAAAAGAAGAAGTGCTCCGCAGCGAGAGTAGCCAGTGCCGCAATTGAAGGTATCGAAAAAATTCCGCCGGGGGAACATCCCGGGACTCCCGAAGAAGATCCCAGGTAGGGAAGGACCGAGAAACCAAAAAGTGTCGTACCTGTGAAAACCCATGAGCCACCCACCAACAAGAGAAAGCCCTTGGGTGATCTAAACCCGGTGGGAAAAGAGGGTTGTTAACAATTGGAAGCAAAGGCAGAAAGGGTGACATCAGGCCACTGGAACAACGTACCGAGTCCCAGACTCGTAAGCCATGGAGCAACATCGGGCTCAGCGATATAGGGCGCAGGGCAGGGGGAAGCCATAGAAGCGCCGACGGTTGGATAGGGGCACAGTTAGGTTAGCCCCAGCAAGACCCAGAAAGGGACGTCAGAGGAAGCGTGCAACATAGACAGCGGGGCAATCTGGCTCGCCTGGTAATACTTAGTTACATTGGGCACCCCAAGGCCACCCTGGAGTCTATGAGCAAAGAGCGTATTTCTAGATACTCTGGGGTGCTTATTGGCCCAGATGAAACGCGAAAAATATATTTTAAATATATTTTCAAAATATGCTGCCTAAATATATTGACATATATTTGAAATACTACAATTCTGGCCTATTCAATATATTTATACAGTATATATATATATTCACACACACACTGTATGTTGACATGAGCATTTTTATATATTACAAAATATATGAAAAATGTTTTTGTAGTATTTCAAATATATGTCAATATATTTCTGCAGAATATTTTTAAAATATGCTGAAAATATATTTTTCTTCCATGTGGAATATTTTGCAGTGTATTTGCATATAGTCAATTTGAAGCATTTCCATTTCTGTTCTGTGTTCTTTAACTCCTTCACGCCTAAGGGTAAAACAAATCTTAAAGCCTCAGCACAAATTTGAAACTTTGACATGAGTTATCAAAACTGCACATATCATCACTACTTTGTGCATCCAGGTGGATTATACCTTATTTTTTTTCAGGACAAATTGGACTGTCATTTGGTGGTAAATGGTAATGGATATCTCCTGATTATGTTTTTTTATCAAAGGAAAACTGATCCAAAATAGTACAAGAAATTTTATTTTTAAACTTTAGTTGTATACTTTTTGCTACTGTTATAACCAACCACCAAAGAACAACCCAAAACAATTTTTCCTGCTCTTGACGATCGCAGCGATACCACATATGTGTATGTTAGTTGTTGTTTGTACCCGTAGTATGGCCTAGAAACAATGGTGTACTTTTTGTTTTTTATACTGCAATTAACCATTAGCCGCCCAGCCAATGGCCGTTTGGCGGCTTGAAAAGCGCTGCAGCTTTCCGGGTGCACGCCATTTGGCGTGCTCCCGCACATGCGCGGTTTGCGCGGTTGCAGAGCGACGCAGCAGTGCGATCTGTCACCGCCCGTGCACCTCGGACACGGCCGATGACAGATCCGAGTACCGGCTCCCGTTGCCGGTACCATGTGACCTGCTGTGACCAATCACAGCAGGTCACATGACAGTTGTATACAATGGATGGCTTCATTCATGATGCCATCCATTGTATACTAGTGCCTAGCTGTGAATGGTCACAGCTAATCACATGCACATGTCATGTGATTAGCTGTGACCAAATCACAGCTAAGCACAAAAAAAAAAAAAAAAAAAAAAAAAAAAAAAAAAAAGCTGAATGAATCGATTTCATTCAGGTAAATGCTTGCTTATATCAAAGTAATTCTTTGCTATAAGCAAATTGTGTAAAAAAAAAAAAAAAAAAAAAAAATACTGATCACTTCCCCAAAGTAGTACAGTGTTACTATGGTAACATTGTACTATTTTGGTCATAGTAAAATATGAAAAAAAATCTTAAAAAAAATAAAAAAAAAATGTAATAAAAAATTAAATATAATAAAAAAAAAAAAATTAAAAAAAAAAATATATATTTTTTTTTCATACTGTCACCAGTCATTGTCGCTGTTCACCGCCATGCCAGTTATATGATGACGCTGTACTGCACTGGTGACTGTATGTAAAAAAAAAAATAGTGAAAATAATTTTTTTAATTTTTTCATTTTCCGAAAAATTATGACAAAAAAATACAACTTCAAAAAACTCGCCATGCCTCTTATGAAGTACGTCGGACTGTCTACTCTGCAAAAAGGGGTCATTTGGGGGATATCTGTACTGTTGTGACATTCTTGGACCTCAAGATATTAGATTGGCTGTCAGTACTTCAGGATTGATCAATATTCAGATCTATACCATAGTTTGTGAACTCTATAACTTTCCTACGAACTAAAAAATACATCCTAATTTGGGTTATTTTCACCAAAGACATGTAGCAGAATACATCTCGGCCTAAATTTATGAAGAACAATTATTTATTTGTAAACTTTTATAACAGAAACAAAGAAAAATGTGTTTTTTTTTCAAAATTTTTGGTCTTTTTTTGTTAATTTAGCAAAAAATAAAAACCCCAGCGGTGATTAAATACCACCAAAAGAAAGCTCTAGTTGTGTGAAGAAAATTATCAAATTTTAGTTTGGGTACAATGTTGTATGACCGCGCAATTGTCATTCAAAGTGTGAGAGCGCTGAAACCTGAAAACTGGCCTGGGCAGGAAGGTGTAAAATTGCACGGTATTGAAACGTTTAACTGACACTGATACTAATTTAAAAATGTAAAAAGTAAAAAAAAAAAAAATCCTGACAAAAAAAATACTGACCCTTGACCCTGACATTTGACTCTGACCTTGACCTTTGACCCTGACCTTGACCTTTGACCCTGACCTTGACTCAAACACTAACCCTAGCACTGGCCTAGATCAAACCTTGATCTAGGTATTTTTATTTTTTTTTTTATTTTTTTTTTTTTTTTTTGCAAACACTTTTTTCTTTTTTCTCTGGAAGGACAGAGAGAGAGAGAGAGAGAGAGAGAGAGAGAGAGAGAGAGAGAGAGAGAGAGAGAGCAGATGTATCTTTCTACTCCATTCAGAGAGAGAAAACAAGGGGGCGTTCTTCACAGTGACTGATCACTGTGATATCTAATCAGAGGCTTTTACAGCGATCATGTGACCCGGAATTGGGAGTTCCAGGTCCCAATCATTAGAACGGGACCTGGGACCCTCACTGACACCCAGCACAAAGACAGGTACGGAAATTAGCGGCCCCACGGAAAAAGGTCCCGTCCAGTGGGGCCGCTAATTTTCGTACGCTTGGCACCAAAAGGTTAATGATAATTCCCTCCCTATCTAAATCATGGAGAACAGCCCTCAGCCTTGGAAATTTGCTCTTTTAAAATTAAGTGTTTTTTATCTTTCCAGCTCTGGTCACTGCTACCAAGATGTTCCTGTGTATGAAAATTAATAATACGTTTCTTTATTGTTTGAGATTAAGGGGTCTAGCAGATCATTATTGCTATTTGGGACTTCTATGAACTGTACTATAAAATTGTCCTTTAATAGGTTTATAAATTTCCACCCTTTTACTATGCCAACAGTGCCAGTACTCCAGTCAATTTCAGGGAAGTTAAAATCCCCCATTATGATCACTGTCCCAGCCCTTGCAGCCCTTTCTGTCTATGCAAGGAGCTGAGTCTCCACCTCCTCATTAACATTAGGTGGTCTATAACAAACTCCAATGATTACCTTTGTAGTACGCACACCCATGTGCAGTTCCATCCATAATGCTTTAGCACCATCACACTTTCCATGAACATGGTCCTTTTCCTTTGGGATCACTCCTCACATAGAGACATACACCACCATCATTACATTTTACCCTGTCTCTCCGAAAGAGAGCATATCCAGGAAAATCAATAGCCCAGTTGTGTAAAGAATGAAGCCAAGATTCAAAAAAACAATTAAATCGTAGTTCTCTTCATGCACCAAAGCTTCCAACTCTCCTATTTTTGCCTGGCCGAATTTTTGGTATTAGTGAACAAACACTTTAATTAATTGTCGCATTTTGCACTTGTGTTGTGCAAATTTTTTGTATTACAAGTAGTGCTTTCATTTCCAATGGTAGTTTGTAACATGGGAACCTTCCTATCACTGCCATAGCCCTCCCCCTATCTTTCCCCATTCACCCACCATTAGGGTCTAACCCCTGTCTGACCTGTGTTTTCCCATTATATTCTACTTCACCCTCCCCCCTCAGTCCTTGTAAAAAAAACCCTCCAGCCTTACCATAAACCTTTATGCAATAGCGTTGCTTAGGTAGTTATATGGAAAGAAGCAAATTGACCATTTTGACTACACATATTCTCCTCCAAGACAAATAAATAAATACTGTCACTATACTATCCCTCCTTTACCCAGGACACATCCCAAATGCATGATCAGACCAGTCTTTACATATCACCATACTTTACATACAGGCAATAAACAAATTAGATTTAAATGATTCTCTGCTTTTCAATATAGATACACATCTAAACCTTTTTCGCTGAAATATGTGATGCTGGGCCATTATGGACATGGTTTGCTCACATAAGTAGAATAAGAAACTAGGTTATCCATATGACTTCCAAGCTAAAAAAGAGAAAGATCTAAAACACAAATGAACATGTTGAGGCCACTTTTGTCTCTGTTACCTAATAATGGTAACATGAACTGCATGGCCAAGTCTCTGTATGACTTTATGATAACAGGGAGTCAAGCTGAGAGTCACTACTTCAGTACAGAACACAACTACATGCAAATAACCTCATTAACAGTGGCCTTCACAGTAAATTTCAGGGTAGCTCTGGCATCACCGGTGAACAGCTGGAGGGATCTAAGGTTCAAGAACAAAGGCAACTCACTGGAACTGGAACACTTTGGTAGCATTAGGAGAGGAGCTCCCAACAGTAGCTGGATCTTCTGTAGAAGGTGTGTGCTATTAGCTTATGGCCTATGCCCATCTGCCTGCACACAGGTTCTGACAATGGAGGGCCTATCACCTGATGCAAATCAGTTTCCTAGCTACCTGTGTGTCAGGATTCTGTCCACAGCAGAGGCTCACAAAGACCTGGCATTCCTGCAATACCTTACATGGATGCAGAAATGTGCGCCAGCGTTGGCACCAAAACAGCCTTTAAAACGGAGCTAGCTGCCTTATGTGGTTGAGCTTCAGCTCTCCAGCGCGTTTGTTCCTATCAAACCCACCATCTGTGGATCTGTTACTGACTCAACTTGCCCCTGGACCTGTCCTCTGCCTGCCTCCTGTACCCCAGCTTGTTTAATGGACTTGCTCTTGCTGCTCTCCTTTGATGCTCCCCTTTGTATGACTCTGGCTATCCTCCTGACTATGCTTACTTACCTGCACATTCAGTACCTTACCTTGGCTTTGAACTGGCTTCTCTTCTGACTCTGCTCTGCCTGAGACCTGCTATCTTCCACAGGCGTCACCTGTCTGCAGCCACTACCTCAGTGCCTCAGCTGAATACCTGGACATTTCATCTAACAGCACTCCATTCGGAACATCCCTGCAAGCAGTTCCAATAGGCAACCTATACTTCCTTGAGACTGGCACCTCTTATTATCTCCTTCATGGGTGCCTGGTGCTTAGCCGCAAGGGAAGCCCTCTCACCATTGCCCCCTCTCCCTAAACTGGTTTTAAAAATGCATTTTACACTTACTTTTCTTTCTTCTTGTCTTCTACCCAGTCATAAGATGTTTTTAGGTCTTCTGTTTCTCTCTGCAACTTTCTTCAGTATCCTACTGGCAGCTGAGGCCAAGGTGCTGGCACTCCCTCCAAGGTGTGTTCATGACAGCCGAGAATCACAAAATGTGGGTTAAATGACACTGACTCTTATTCAACTCAGTGGTACATTGTGGTTCACTGCAATGTATGTGCATTGGAGCTGCATTTCTTTAGTATGTTGGGGTGTCATTCAAAGGAACAGCACAGCTATGTATTAACGTGCGCATGGTGCAATATCATGTGTGTTACTGTGTACATGGGTGTGAAACTCTACTGTTATGTCTGACACTCACTGAGATGAAACCAGTAACTACACAGACAATAATGAAAACTTGACCAGGGTTTTAACCCTTCACCATACCACTCTAGAGTATTTTTATTTACTTTATTCATAAAGGGTACAGTGTGCAAGTTACAGCAGCTTATGCATTTCGGTAAAACCTTATTCATGGAAGAAGGTGCTCTGGTCAGATTAGAGCAATCTTGAACTTTCTGACCTAAAAGCAAAACGCTATGTGTGGCAGAAAACTACCACCGCACATCACCCTGAACACACCATCCCCACCGTGAAACATGGTGGTGGCAGCATCAGCTGTGGGGATGCTTTTCTTCAGCAGGGAAAGGGAAGCTGGTCAGAGTTGATGGGAAGATGGATGGAGCCCAATACAGGGCAATCTAAGAGGAAAACCTGTTAGAGTCTGCAAAAGACTTGAGACTGGGGCGGAGGTTCTCCTTCCAGCAGGACAACAACCCTTAACATACAGCCAGAGCAACAATGGAATGGTTTAGATCAGGAGTCTCCAAACTATGGCCCCTCCAGGTGTTGAGGAACTGCAAGTCCCATGAGGCTTTGCAAGTCTCTGACAGCCACAGGAAAGACTTCCAGAGGCAGAGGCATGATGGGACTTTTAGTACTTCAACAGCTGGTGGGCTATAGTTTGGAGACCCCTAGTTTAGATCAAAGTATATTCATGTATTATAATGACCCAATCAAAGTCCAGGCCAATTGAGAATCTGTGGCAAGACTTGAAAATTGCTGTTCACGAACTCTCTCCATCCAATCTGACAGAGCATGAGCTATTTACAAAGAAGAATGGGCAAAAATTTCACTCTCTAGATGTGCAAAGTTGGTAGAGAAATAACCAAAAAGACTTGCAGCTGTAATTGCAGTGAAAGGTGTTTTTTACAAAGCATTGACTTAGGGAGGCTGAATACAAATGCACGCCACACTTTTCACATATTTATTTGTAAAACATTTTGAAAACCATTTATCATTTTCCTTCCACTTCACAATTATGTGCCACTTTGTGTTGGTCTATCACCTAAAATCCCAATAAAATACATTTAAGTTTGTGGTTGTAACGTGACAAAATGTGGAAAATTTCAAGGGGTATGAATATTTATTCAAGGCACTGTGGTTATTACAGTCCCTAGCTATACCTTCCCTGTCTGACTCTGCTGTACAGTTAGTTTCAGTTTCTACAGAAGCAAGATATAGGGAAGTTGTTGTCTTCCTACAGTTCAAAATACTAGAAAAAACATATTTTGTACTTCACTTATCTGAAGTAAAATATATCTTAAAACTATGTTGGATTCAACTCACAGTGGGTAAAGAAAATAATCACATTGTATTGCTTTGCAGCTTAAAGTGAAGACAGACACATTTTTTGTTTTATCCAGCTGTATTTACTCAGTGCAACTTATAACATCCAAGTGAAAGATATAACACCAACATGTCAGAAAAAAAAAATAAAAAACAGAATATTAAGTTGGAAAAAGGATCATCCCTTGTGTCAGTATATTGTTGAACCATCATATGCTGTAATTACAGCATTTAGTCGGTTGGGATATGTCTCCGCTAACTTTGCACATCTAGACTTTGCAATATTTGCCCACTGCATTTGTATGTAAAATATGTATCTAGTGGATTTGTATATTGATTCTGTATGCTAGCTGACTCATTTGTTACACTAGCTCACTTTTGTTTACTTGAAAAGGTTGTTGGGCCAAGTTGTACCTTGAAGCTTACAGAGGGCCAGGGGTGGACTGACCTTTAGAGCACTCAGGCTCTGCCCGAGGGCCCAGGGTCAGTAGGGGGCCCCATGAGATGCCCCTGGTACCTTTTTTATTGGCTTTTTCATAGGCTTTTTTGGGTTTGGGCAAGGACACAGGGGCCCAATGAT